AAGGAAGGGGATGCAATAGGATTTTTCTTTTTAACTAGATTGATTATTATTTGCTGTTTATAAATCTAAAGATTAAATGCTTTGCAATCATGGAGCAAAGAAGACAGCCATTCCTTCTTCAACAAAAATATGAGCTGTAAAGGATATTTTAAACTTCTCGAAGTGTTACATACTGACAAGTACGTATTTGGCAGGTTTACATTTTGTTAACATTTGACAAAGAGGACCATAGCATTCCCCTTAGCCTGACTCAATTTTAGACAGGTTTCTTCTTGACTAGAAGTTCCTGACCTCCATTTTCCCTGACCAATTACAAGAGACATTTTCTCATGGCAAATTCTTTCTTTGCCCTTTTGTAATGCAGATAAATCTCCCAAACTCTTTCAATTTTGTGAGGCAGAATGGTCTTTCTCAAAAGCCTGAACACCATCCTTTTGACATGTAGACATCAAGCAAGATAGGACCTCTATCAGGCAGTGTCTATGGGAGGGTAGGACCCTAACTTCTCTAAGAGCCAGTTACACAGCTGGCCTAATCACACCAACCTCCCCCTCCCCACACGTGTTCTCCAGTACTTTTTCACTAGCTCAGCCCAGCATTTAAAAACTCTCCTGAACTTTGTTTCAGCAGTTAAGTTCACTTGTCTCCCCTATTGCAATGGTCTTACCTTTATTGCAATAATCTGAATAACATCTTCCTTGCCATTCCTAACAAGTGCCCAGTACAATTTCTCTTTGCCACATTTTAGTCAAGTTGTTTTGCACTGTCATTTTATTTATATAGCTGTGAATGACTTACAAAATTACATATTTTTAAAGAGTAAATTTGACCATACTGTAAACCGTGAGGATGATTTTTTTTTTTTCTTTCTTTCCTGGAATAGTGGGAATTCAGTCTATTGACACGTCCTCCTCAAGAACTGTTGCATTCATGTGTGTCCACATCAAAACTCTTCTTTCTCTCCTACAGTACTGGTCCCACCTACTCAATCTACTCTGCAGGCTTCTCTTTCTTTACCGAATCCTTAAATAATGCTATTCCCAAAGGTTCTGTCCTATGTTCTTTCATAGTCTCACTTTTTATTTTCTTCCGGGGTGACATTACATATACTACAAATATTACCTACAAATATTCTAGTAAGTTTAAAATCTTTATTGTTAAATTCAAGAGGATCTTTTCTTTTCTACTTTTACCTGATCTGTAAGCAGCAAATAAAACAGATAATAACCCCCTCCTCCTTGGAATACTTTTGTTTGTTTGTTTGTTTTGTTTTGTTTTGTTTCTATGTTACCATACTCTCCTGGTTTGCTCCTTGCAAATTTTATTTCCTACTGTTTTTCGACCCCCAAACACTAATACTGGAGTATCTGGGTCTCAGTCTTTAGACTGATTCTTGTCTCTGTCCATGCTCTCTCTTTAAGGGATCTCATCACACTACAACATTTTAAATATCACCTACAAGGCTAATAATTTCAAATGTATATCTCTAGAAAATTATAGAAAAAATACTCTTCAAGAACTACTGTCTTCATACTCTGTTCATTTATTCAACTAGTTATTATTGGGAACCACAGTGCCTGTTGTCAAGAATATAAAAATAAACCCATTCATTGTTCACAACTATCTTGGAATCTAGAAAACACGTGAAACTAGAAATGACTCATTCCGAAAATATGTAAGATCTATTCAAACTACGGATAGAGAGGCAACAAAATATAATGGTCACATGCATGGATTCTGATGCCAGCACTTGGGATAAAATATCTCTCTGTCTTTATTTAAGAAATAACAACTTCCCTGGGCCTCAGTTTATTCACCTGGAAAATGAGGCATATGATAATATTTCCCTCACAATTTTTTTTGAGAATTTTTGAGAATTGGTTTAATATTTATAATGTTGCTAGAATCATGTCTGGGACCATGTGAATATATATTTGTTTAAAACAGTTTGATTATGTGGCATGTGAGTTCAGTTTTGCAGTGTAGTTAAAATTCCAATAGGAATCGACAGGCACATTTCAGGAAGAAGGGTTGATACGAACAAATTATAGAAACTAGTTTATATTTTGAAAGACAAGCAATTCAGAGTGTGAATAGGAAATAATATATATATATGTGTGTATGTGTGTGTGTGCATGTATACAATGTGTGTGTATGTATGTGTATAATATGTGTGTGTGTATATATATATATATATATATATATATATATATATATATATTAAAAAGCAAGATATACACAATTGTGACCAAATTAAAGAGAGTGATAAATACCAGGCTGTGAGTTTTGTACTTTTCTGTGCTGGTATTGGAAAATCCATTGAAGTTTTTGAGCAATGAAGTCAGAAAACCGCTGTAGGAAATGTCATCTGCTCTGCCCTTTGCTGTGAATTCATCTCTGCCTAATGCCCAAAGCCTCCTGTGATCATGGTGTTACTGTTAGTGAGCAGAAAGTAGGACAAAAATTCTCATTCTCAAAAAAGAGAGTATTCCACAATATTACAAATGCACCGACCTCTGAGTTCTTGCCTATGAGCCAGAATCTGTGAAAAGAATGAATGATCCACTGAGTCAGTAAAGATCTGAGTGGATTCTAAAGCAATCAAGAGTGGAGGGAGCTAGTTCCTACTAGAAATGTAGATTTCCATCTTTTCACATGATACAAAAGTTGAAAAAGGTTATTATAAACATGATTAATTAGAGTTGTTATAAATAACTTGAGGAGTTAGAATAAAAGCTCCAATGTAATCAACAGAGTGAGGTAGCAGCATCCTTAGATGTGTTTACCACATAGGGCCAGGGCGCTGGTCTCAAGTCTCTCATATAAACGTGCTGGTTCCCAAATCTTCTGCCCATCTCAGCCCAGATAAGAACACATTGAACATGCAACTTTATTGAGTAAGTGGACTTACCACCCAGGACATTGATAAAAATAAGTGTATAGTAAATTAAGCCTATTTTTTTAAGTTTGGAAGTAGGTTGTCTAATCCGGCAGGGGTGGGGGGGTGCACTTGGAATACATCCATGTTTATGCAAAGTGTATAAAATATTTAAATTTGACATATATAATTCTAATAACTATAATTATATAGTTTATATAATTATAATATATATTATATATAATAATAATAATTATAAAATACATCTTAAATATGTAATGTAATATGTAGATTTAGAAAATTGTGAGATAACTTATTTCCAAAATTATTTTAATTTTAAGCTTATTATATTTGTTGATGTATCAGATAGACAGATGTTTGAAAAGTTTGAGAACATCAGATATGTTAAATTTCTAAGTATATCATCTATTTATAATTCCAAGTTCAAATAAATGTTTAAAGCCAGTTTCTATAGGAGTTGTGGGTAGCAGGTCATTTGCATTCTGTTTTTGTGATTCCTTTATACCATATTGTCTGTCCATAGGTTTCTAAATTAATCTGGTTTTAGATCTAGGGGGCAGTGCCACATGGTGGAGATTCTCTGAAAGTTTTATATTAACCTTTTACTTTATCAAAAACCCTGGGTCCTAACCAATTCAAATTAAGTTGCTTAAGTTTAAATTCATTTGTATATTTATTATAATTTCATTATTATTTTAAACTTAGGAAATGCTTATAGGCAATATTTCAGAATTATTTCTGAAATAAATACGGCCAAATAAATTTCACAAGACATTTTAAGAGCTACTAATCATTCCCATTATGTTACAGTTGAATATCCTATAACGATCCAGGTATACTTCATTCTTAAAATATGCCTATTTCTTACCATAGTAAGTCTTTGAAAATAAAGCAAAATGTTGGCTACTATTATTTATTGGTAGAAAATTAGAAGTTCCATTTTTGTAAAATCCAAATTGTCTTCAACTAGCTTCATTGATAAATTCACTTCTATTGAGAATAATTGGTTTCATAGTAAATATATATATTCCTATATATACATATATACACACATACATAACACACATTCAGTATTCTGAAAACAAGTTTATATATCTTTAAAAATGTTTTATGACAGTAATAAGCTTCTACGATTTCAAATGATACCTAAGAAAAATTTTAATGTACTGGAACTGAAAACAAAGAACAATCTACTTTAAGCTTTACATTTTACAGAAGAAAAAAGTGAGCTCCACAAGAGAAAATGTATGAAATAAACTGTGAAGTAAAAATAAATGAAGAAAGAAAGGAAGGAAGGAAGGAAGGAAGGAAGGAAGGAAGGAAGGAAGGAAGGAAGGAAGGAAGGATGGAAGGAAAGAAAGAAAGAAAGAAAGAAAGAAAGAAAGAAAGAAAGAAAGAAAGAAAGAAAGAAAGAAAGAAAGAAAGAAAGAAAGAAAGAAGGAAGGAAGGAAGGAAGGAAGGAAGGAAGGAAGGAAGGAAGGAAGGAAGAAAAAGAAAAGAAAGAAGGAAGGAAGGAAAGAAAAGGAGGGAGGGAGGGAAGGAATGAAGGACGAAAGGGAAAAATTAATTGTGAAGTAATGGTGATGTGTTTCAAAATAAGTCTGCTCTCTATTCTTTACCTATCTAGTAATTCATTTGACATTAGGTTTCTTTTATGTTGATATGTCTGATACAGTAGTTATAAGCTATAGAAAAAATTCCAGCTCATTCTCTTCATGTTTATGTTTATATATTAGGTTTCCTTGTTCCATGATGAATGAAAAAATAAAAATTAACTGAAATGCGATTACTTATTCTATTGAATTGCTAAAAAAAGAACTTTTCTTTATTGTATTGGCAAAGTATAAAAGATTTACTATGAATACCCAGTGTTAGCAGATGTTTCAAACATTTGAGGAATTTGAAAGTAGAAAGCTTGAAGCTTACATTTTATTTTTTTAAAAAGAAATTTAAATTATACAGAACTCACAACATAAAAGCAGTAATTGATATAGTTAAAAGAAGCTTATTTTTATCATTTCAAAATGAGAGGAATGGTAGCAAAAGTTATTATATATAATATATGGCAGTGTTTAGTTAGCAATTTATTGCAGGTCCTTACCTGACCAGAGCCTGCATTTTCACAAACATATGTGTCATAGTATTCAGAGAACTCGGGAGCATGATCATTAACATTAAGAACTTGCACATACACAGGAACTGCAGAAATCTGTTGCACATTGTCTGCAAATTGAATAAACAGAACAAAATTAAAGAATGTTAATGCTGTCTTTAGGGGGGGGCAATTAAAAGGTCATGAAAATTGCATTAGAGACTCTGTGGCATATTTCTATTTTCCTTGAATAAAAGCTACCTGAGTATAGAATCTCTATATCAATCATATATTTATCAAGAGGACAGCCTAGGAAAAAATGTTCTCAACACATTCAACTCAGCCAATACTTATCAAGTGCTTTTACCTTGCTATAGACTACAGATAGAGCTGATGAGGAAAAGTAATGAAAAAGATGGTCAGGTTCGGGGATACCTTCCTAAAATCCAGCAACTGTTGGATATATGTATATTAATGCATTTAATACATTTAATAATGAATTATTATCCTCCCTAACTTTGCTGATAAAAACATTGCAAATTTAGTTCCACAAATTACAGATAAATGGCTGGTCTAAGGTTATAGCTGAAGTAGAAAGGGCAGTTTAAGAAGCCAGCAATAAGTGCTCCTAATGATGACATTGTTTGGTACAATCTTTAAAAATAAAAACAGACAGAGATTAAGGATCTAAATAAATTTTAAAATAAAATAAACAAATCTAGGTAAAGTTTTATGTATACATTTTAGTTGGGAGGATTTTCTTGTGAGCCAAGAAATACAGAAACTATGAAGAAATGGGAAGCTATGGTTAAATACATTTTAAAATGCTGCCCTCCACAACCCCCCCCACCAAAAAAAAAAAAAAAGTAAAAAAAGCCACAACAACAAGAAGATACCAGTGATCTGGAAAAATGTTTGCATCAGAAGATGAAATTTTAATAGCTCTAGTTTACAAATTCTGACAGTTGATATAAAAAAAACCATTTGGGGAAATAATCACAAACCTGAAATTCATGGATGAGAAAATTCAAATGATCAATGCCAGTTTTTCAACCTCGTCACTATTGATATTTTGGACTAGATAATTCTTTTTGTTTCAGGAGGCTCTCCCGTGCACTGTAGGATGCTTAGCAGCATCCCTAACTTCCAGTAACTAAATGCCAATAGCATTCCCCACACTAGTTGTGACCATCAAAATTGGCTTCAGACATTGTCAAAGGTATTAGGAGGCAAAACTGCCCACATCTGAAACATGCTGCTCTATCAGAATATTCACACACACTCTGGCTCACCAGAAGTGCAGATAATGATGACTTAGTCTGTGGGTTCTGTGTTAAATATGAAAAACAGAGACAGTGATGGTGGAGTACTGAGAAATAGCAGGGATGTAAACCTTTTCTGGAACCTAATCTGGTAGTAGACAGTAAGAGATAAGCTAGACATATCTTTGACCCCGTAATTCCTTTGGGAAACCTATGCTACCGTCCAAGTCACTAGTATATGCAGAGAGTATGTGTCCAATTTACTTATTCTAGAATTTTTTTTCATCTCAAATAACTGAAAATAACCCAAATGCATATCAAAAGGGAACTGAGAAATAAATTACAACCACACTATGAAATTGTGTGTGCTTATTAAAAATGAATGAGCTAATGTAATAAACATATGAATATGGCGAGCTTTAAAAATAGATTTTAATCTTGATCCTCAATTTGACAAAAACGCTTAACTACCGTCTCAGTTGCCTCTGCAAAATGGAAAAGATACTAGTAACCAAACTTATAAGAGCTGTTATAAAGATTAAATTAATTAAAACATATAAAGCATTTATAAGATTACTTAGGGTATACATAAGCAATAAATATTAAATATTATTATTTTATTTATCTATTAATCAGCAGTGATACACACGGCATTTTGCGAAATGATAAAAAAAGCAAGTTGCCCCATAATATATTGTGTATTTGCATATCATTATTTTAAATGTTTTTTTTAATTCAAAAAATGGTGTGGGAAGGTACATACAATTAAAGAGTGAGGAGAGGAAGGTTTCTTTGTTGTTTTAATGACTTTATAATATCCTGTTCTTATGTTATTGCAAAAGCATTATATTTGCAATTGTAATTTGTATGGGCAAATACATTAAAAAAAAAGGCTTGATTATCTCTGTTGAAAATAAGGGAAAAGATTTTCCCTCTTTCCTCTTCTTAAAGCATTTACTTTAGGAAACTTGTAATTTAAGTTCTCTCTCTATTTTTTTTAATGTATATAAACCTTTTAAAAACTGAATAAATGTCAACTTCACAACCCAGGCTTGTTCTTTCTCAAGTACTGGGAGCCAACTCTTTGAAATATAATTATCAAGGAAAATGACACTCCTTTCTCCCAGTTTCTGTTGGAGGATAGGGGCCTTGTTTCAGCAAAGGCTTTGACCAAAATTCAAAACGACTTCTTGTCATAAAAATCTGAGAAATTTAGTTTTCCTTTGGATAAAGTCAGTTAGCAAAAACAGAGTGCATTATGTGTGACACATGGTGTTAAGTCTCCCTACCTTAAGGCTAGCACTTGGTTACCATGAGAACATGATGCTTGATTTTATAATAGGGTGAAATTTCTTTCTGACTTGGAAATCTCAACAGATTCCTGTAATGCACATCAAATTCTGTTTGAATGCTTTTCAATTATAAAACTGTTTTCTCTCCATTCCACTATTATGGAGTTGTTTTTCTGGGGTGGGAGGAGCCTGTTTCTAATTGTTTTTCCAATAAATAGCAGTTGCAATTATGACAGAAATTTTAATTTCCAATTGATTAAGAATTATAATTTGCAAGGTTTATTACATACCAAAAAAATCTGGTCTTTAGTATTTATCATCTTAAGACCTATTGTAAGAATTATCATCTTGAGACTCTATTGTGTTATGCTTAGGATAAAAATAGATAAATAAAACATTAAGATATAGCTATTTCTAGAGATTTCAAGATAGAATTATTCAAAAATTAAGGCTTATGTTTTTTATGGCTTACACATATAATATATACCCACAGAACAACTTTTTGCTTAAGTAATTAAAACGGAGAAAGTATTTCACACACAAATACTTTAAAAAATAGTAAGAAATTCATTTAAAGTTTTTATATTTTTCCTGGAAAATCTGTTTAAATTTAAGTTTAAATGAAAATTGTTATGACTGTACAAAACATACATATGTTTTCACAGCTTCATTTAAAAGTAGTTAGTAGTTTTATTCACTTAGCTGGCATGCTGATAAATAGCTTGGTGCTTAATTTGGGTAAGTTTCCAGGAAAGAGACTGAATACAATGAACTTCATTTCCTGGGGAAACAAATGTTAAAATGGAACATCTCTTTCCTATAATCAGCATAACTGTTACACAAAAGTTTCAAGTTATTCACCTTGTGCGGCAAGTGTTTGTAACAATTTGGTGATTCTCAGTTTTCCACCATTCAGGTTGTTTGTTCATATTACTATTGAGACCTGTATGGTCAAAAAAAATTTTTTTTTAAGATTTATTTATTTATTTTAGAGAGAGAGAAAGAGAGAGAGAGCAGAGGGAGAGAATCTCAAGCAGACTCCCTGCAGCGCAGAGTCCGGCTTGGGGCTCCATCCCAGGACCCTGAGATCATGACCTGAGCTGAATCCAAGAATCAGACACTTAACCAAGTGAGCCACCCAGGCACCCCTCAAGCAATTATTTTTGATATTGATACCACATTAATAAGAAATTGGCACATACAAATATTTTCTCCAAAATTGTTCTAAAATGAGTTAATGATGTGAAACAAGAAAAAATCCCATGGTGATGGGTATTAAAGAGGGCGTGTATTGAATGGAGAACTGGGTGTTACACATAAACAATGAATCACGGAACACTACATCAAAAACTAATGATGTAATGTATGATGATTAACATAACATAATAAAATTAAATTAAAGAAAAAAGTGAATCCTAAAAAAAAAAAAAAGAAAGATAATGGTAATTACAGAACTCCTGGCATGGCATTTATGTTGCCATTCACTGTGATGGATGTACGTTAATCAACCTGTCGATTCCAAAATATATAACGAGTATTAAAAAAAAAAAATCCCAGAGAGAAAAAGTACATGAAAATTGGTTACTTGGTGTTAAAAAAGTTTCTTCTAACCAATTTTTCTGAAACTGAAACAAAAAATTCAAAAAATCTTCCCAATGATGAGTAAAATATACACTAACTTTGTGGCTTTCTGAAAATGTTTATCTAATTATATTTTATTTTGGAATTTCATTCCCCATACTGTAATTTTTCAGCTTTATAATAAAAATAATAGTGGGAATATCATCTCTTTTATCTAAAAGTACTATTTTTAATTCTAAGAAAACTGATTTAAAATGCCAGGAGCAGAACAGCATGAACTGTATAATTCCTGTACTTGATAACATTTCTAATCACTTATTTCTGAAACAGTGATTAACTTCTAAGTATTAAATTCTGTGTAAAATAAATATATTCAGTTTATTTTCAGTTTGCCTTTCACAGGCATTTACAAGTTTGTTTTCCTTGACTGCATTTTTAATCTTCTTTTATTTATAAATTATTATTATTATTGTCATTATTTTAAAGATTTATTTATTTATTTGAGAGAGAATGAGGGTGAGCACATGTGATCATGGGCTGGGGGGGATGGGTGGCAGAGGGAGTGAGAGAGAGAGAATCTCCAAAAGACTCCCTGTTGAATGAGGAGCCCCATGCTGGGCTGGATCCCAGGACCCTGAGATCATTACCTGAGCAGAAATCAAGAGTCAGATGTTTCACCAACTGAGCCACCCAGGCATCCCTATAAATTATTTGTTTTATTATAATACTCTATAATCCACAAAATTTTAAGTTTAAAAATTTACTAAATTGATAATCTTTGCATCAAGTGACCAACTTCAATGTTGATCTAATCACATTTTATGAAATTCTGTATCTAAAATTACATATCTATTAAACTTCTTGTTTTATTCTATTTTGTCCCTTGAATTCACTTTGAAACCTTATTTACTTGTTTTTCCTCAAAAGAATTAAAATGTTTTCAAGTCCACTAATTTGTTGTTTTTATTTTTTATTTTTTTAAGATTTATTATTTATTTCAGAAGGAGAAGGAGAGAGCATGCATGAGCAGGGGGAGGGAGAGAATTCTCAAGCTGACTTGCCTGCTGAGTGTGGAGCCTGTGGGGCTCGATCCCAGGATCCTGAGATCTTTAACTGAGCCAAAACCTGGAGCCAGATGCTCAACTGACTATGCCACCCAGGTGACCCTAATTTATTGTTTTTAAATGTTTACATGTGTTTTATTTTGCTATCTTCAAATATAAAACAATTATTATAATATAAATATATTCTGGCTTTAAAGTTTCAAGAGAAAATTTATTTTAAAAAATGTCTTTTTTAAAGATTTTTATTTATTACAGAGAGAGAGAGAGCACGTGCGTGCACACGCACATGCATGCACATATGTGTGTGTGGGGGGAGAGACAGAGGGAGAGAAACTTCAAGCCGACTCCCCACTGAGTGTGAGTCCCAGTCAGGGCTTGATCACATGACCTATGAGACCATGACCTGAGCCAAAATCACAAGCCAGATGCCTAACCGACTGAGCCACCCAGGCATCCCCCCCCCCCCCAAAAAAAAACATGCTATTAACATACTTTTGCACAATAGGACACTATTCTTCAAAATCTATTCAAAAAGGTAATCATCTCCTAAACTCCCCTTCAATGACTATAACGTCACCAGCCACACATGATTTCATCAACAAATGAACATGGACAAACAATAGCAACAGAATGCGATGAGCACACCTCAGAGCAGAGTCAGAACATGTATCAGAGGAGAATTTAGCTAATGTACTTATAGAGATCATCAGTTGTTTGGCTCTGAGGAGGTCACACAACATGAACTGATTTAAACATTACGTTTGAGTCACTAATTGAAATACCTTTGTAATTAAACTTTATTTTTAAAGAGAAAAAATAGAAAAATGAAACTTCGTTAAGATTATTGTGCATATATTTAAACCAGAAAACACCAGAAGCAAGTATCATTTCTCACATTCTCAGTAAGAAACAGTGTGGCATAGGATTAAGACAGGCTTTGGAATCAGATACAATTGTGATCAGTCCCTGGCTTCATCACTTAGGAGCTGGGCAAATAAACTGCGTAAGTGTCAAATTCATCTTCTCTGAAACAGAAATAACGTTTGCTTCAAATCTGTATGAAGAGCTATAAAAATGCTACTAACTGTAGAATTTTACACAAAGTATATAGGCATATACATACTTTCATAACCATACACATATTTATATGCAATAAAAGAAATCTATTTCATAACATGTAATTCCTGAAAACTCACCAATACTCACAACAGCTTGCAAAATATGTATTTTATAAACAAATATCTAAAAATACAAGAAGTGACAAAGCTAGAAGTTTTTTCCCCTGTGAATCACAAACGGTATCCAGTTTTTATTGTCGTTGTTGTATCTTTATTTTCCTCAATACATACACCATTATAATATCTGTGGTCCTTAGTGCAAACCTATGTAATAAGTAATACTGTAAACTACAAATTGAAACAGTTCTATCGCCTGAGTACTATATGCTCCCACACCCACTCGCATATATAAGTACGTTACAGAGAACATTTGGCGCCACTGTTCTCCTTAATAAGGTGAAATCTATAGATCAACTGGTAAGGAGCAATAGTTTAGAAAGATCTCAAGTCTCATCTGATTATTTCTGTTGTGCTGGTCACTGAATTTTTGGGCATCACCTCTGAACACAGTATGTAGTGAGATAATTAAACTGATTAAATAATATACTTTGTAGTATATATGCAAATATACATACATGTGTTGAATTAATAACTTTTTGGGACAGTAGCTATCTTGCAACCCAGAGATTTGTGTGACTGTTTTTATTTCATTTTGTGATGCTACAATTTACTTCCACTGTCTTAAAAAAGGGCGGGGTCAACACAAAAATACTTCAAACAATGTCTCTTTAAAGATCTTCATGACAACTTTTTGATAAAAGTAATTATGGAATTAATGGGATTCAGGTATAATTGGCTTATCTTACAAACTTTTCATACCAATCACTCATTCATCCTTTTTTTCCTATTCATTCATAAAATATTAGAATGGTTTTTGTCTCAGAATACACATAATACATTTTCAAGATTCTGCTTTCTAATAACTCATATTGCAGCCTAATTTAACAAAAAGTAAATGATATATTCTTACAAAAATTCCACCTTTTATATAAAGTAAGCTTACAGTTTATATACATTTATTAAAACATGCTCTTGTAATAGCTAAAACAACATTTTATAGAGAAATACATTTTTCAAAGATACCCAACCTTCCCTTGAACTGATTTGAATGCCTTTTCTCAACAGTTTTGTAAATAGTGATATTATAAATAATTTGTTCTCAGAAAACCCAATGAATAAAAGCTTCTTGCTTTTAGAATAAGCATCTTTGTGTTTTGTGACACCAAGAGCCTTGGCATTTCTTCTGTTGCAGCAGACATTTGCACCTCAGTCTTTGTTGTTAAGTTAAATGGAAAATTCAAAACCCAGACTCAGTCCTCCTGTAGTGTTTCCACAGAGCTATTCAATGCATGACAAAAAAAATATGCAAGAGATGCTTTCCACTCCACCATATCCCCAGCCACTGCTCAATATGTAAGGAATAAGATATATGTTTAAAGGTTTAAAAAAAAAAGCCAGAAAAGTAAACAAGATTATTAAAATTTACGCAAAATCAGTTATAAAGGATGCATTCTAGAACATTTCATATTCACAAATTTAATTATTTACCCAACTACAATAAACTCATCAATTAAATAAAGGGGATGATCTTGATAATCTTTTATATTGTGTTATATCTATTCCTTTGAGCTTAAATTTGTTAATATGGTTGACTTAATACCAAATTAATTGATAATTTTGAAGACACTATCCAAGTAGTAAATTAGGATGATTTTATCTACTTTTTACACCCTGAAAATGGAATCATTTGCTTATCTCTGAGCCGAAGGCAGACACTTAACGACTGAGCCACCCAGGCACCCCTCGTCTGCCTATCTCTGGAAACAAAAACCAAAAACCAAAAAAATAAAAAACAAAAATAAAAACACACAACAACAGTAACTGGTCCCCACTGATTACTGAAGATGTGACTATTAGCACAGCTTCCACTGTATGCTTAATTTGAAAATGTCTGACTGTTTGTAATGCACCAGTGAATGTTTGTCGTTTGAACCCTTCATATTCTTTCCCATAGCTTCATTGAAACATGATTATTTTTAAATGCTTAAAGTTTTAAAAGGTTGTGTTGAAGTGTTACCCTGGGGGCGCCTGGGTGGCTCAGTTGGTTAAGCGACTGCCTCCGGCTGGGGTCATGATCCTGGAGTCCCGCATCGAGTCCGGCATCGGGCTCCCTGCTCGGCAGGGAGTCTGTTTCTCCCTCTGGCCCTCCTCCCTCTCATGCTCTCTGTCTCTCATTCTCTCTCTCTCAAATAAATAAATAAAAAATCTTTAAAAAAAAAAAAAAGAAGTGTTACCCTGTCCCTAATGTCCAAGAGTATAGCTAACATTTTGTTCCAGAAATAGAACAAGGCACAGGCATTCTGTGTTTTATTTCTAGAATAGTCCCCTTGTGAACTAATACAGTCAGTCTAAACTGATTATGGTTAAAGGGTATGATATTACTAGTCAATTTTAAATTACTTTAAATTTAAAATTTTAATTCTCACTCATTAGGTTTACTACTCCTTAGATAGTAGTAAAAGAATGTATAACATTAATTAAACATTTCTCTAAATTAAAAAATTTTCTCTAAGGGAAAGATTCCTATGAAATAAGTATTATAACTTCTTTCCATCTATATGTATTTTTTTAAGGGTCGATTTTTTGGGGGGGATACTGTATATAAGACTCTTTTTTCATTAAACTCATAACTTAAAAGAGAACCCATAGAAAATATATATTAAATATATCTCAGTTAAAAAATCTTTCAAAATTTATATTCAGTTTGTCATAATAAAAAATCTTAAAGTATTTAGTGGTAAGTATATAAATAAACTATAATAGGAATGAACAGACATTGGTAATCTAAAGTAATAAAATAAAATACACATATATGAATTGACGTATATATAATTTAACTCCAATTCCAACGAATTTTAAGCTAGCTTCTGTCCCTACATTTGGAGATTATTGAATGGTTTAAATATATGCTTTATCAATGTGTGATCCTAAATGAGTACTTACATTTCTCTGTGGCTATAATACTTAGGTTGTACCAAGCACTAATCTCTCGATCAAGAGGGTTAGTTGCGATGATTGTGCCGTTGGTATCAATACTGAACATTTTGCTTCTGGTCATAGAATACCTGCACCAAAAAAAAAAAAAAAAAAAGTATTCCTTAATTTTATTATTTTGTCTGTGTAATTGTGACACATAAAACCTTTTTGAGGCAATTAGACAAATTAAATGCATGCTCAATATAAGCAAATGTAATGCTGAACAATTTTTAGAAAGGTGCATGCATATATTTAAGATTCAACTCAGTGAGGGTTAAAAAGAAAAAAATTACGCTAAAATGGTCTCAGATTTAAACTGATGTATGCTAAATCTAAACGCATGTAATTCATTCTCAATCCCAAAAGAAAATTTTAATAAGTGAATGATTTAGCTAAAAAGAAATGGTAAAATGTCGTTTGCAAAATTAAGAGAAGTATAAATAAATAGCGGTAAAAATTACTGCTTGTTAACCTTTTTTTTACCTTTGAAGTGACACAAAGCATATCCTCACCCTAAACTGCTAAGTCTCTTTCCTACACCATATGGATGCTTGCTAAATGTGTACATTATATTATAATTACCTGATTGCGGACATATGAGAAATGTTTGGGTTTGTTTGTTTAAAGAAAACGCTTGGATAATATTTAATAAAAATGAGATGTGTGTGTGTGTGTGTGTGTAGATCCCCCAAAAGTAATGATAGTAGATGGAATATGCTGTTAGAATGTGCATGGAAAGAAGCCAGATAATAAAATTCCCTCATGCAAAAGCCTGAAAAATGATCTCAAACTCCACAATGAAAGGAGCCTTTGAAGTACTCAGCATGTCTTATCTGCTTGCAAATGATTAATAATAAAAATTAAAGAAGAGTAATAACTTGGGTTCAATGATGACTTCTCATTGCACGTATATTCCTGAAGACTTTGATGAGACATCAATGAGGTTTGCCATAATTATGTGGCAGGAGATGAGAATATTTTAATCTTGAATTGACAGGTCTCTAAAAATACCACACTGATTTGTAGACTGGTGTTCAGGGGAGAATTAAAATAGAAATTACAGAGAATTAAGCTTCAGAGGAATTTGGTTTTAACTCCACCCCATTTTAAAACTTTATAAGCAGTTTACTGACATATCCACAAATGGTCACATTTCCTAAGAGATTTGTTGACAAAGAGCAACAGTAGTTTAACAGTTAATATTTTGTATTAAACATCTAGAATATCCTGTTTCTATAATAAGCCATTCCAAATAAAACCAATCAAATGTTTGACATAATTTTCAAATAAAAGTTTTTAAAAATCATGACCTTGTGTCATCAGTAACTAGGAAAGATGTGTGCTATACATTTTAGAAAGAGCTTGAGCTAAAAAGCTTAAAATGTGAAGTTTTGATGTTTGGTTCATTTTGGAATTCCTTTTTATGGAACTCTTCATTCCTACAAAAATGCTGAATGAATACCATGTGACTGTGCGCTGTTTTCCCATTGCCAACAGCTCTTGCCTGAATGATAAACAAATGGTTCTTCCATGCCTGCTGTGCCTCTGTCTGTGCCTCTGGTTCTTAATCCTCACATGCCTCTACAAAAGTACTGTTCCCACTTTACAGACAAAGCAACTGAGACACATAAGACCCAACCCCTATATACAAAAGCTGGACTTTTCCAAGTAGGCTGCAGATCCACTGGGTGTTTCAAGGATTTTTAAGGGCTTCCAATAGAATACAGATGAAAGATGTTTAAAGACAGCCTCTTCCACAGGAGAACACTCCTGACATTCCCGAATACCCACAAAGCTCTTCCCGTTTCTCACACACATGACTACTCAGGTTATTTGTCTTTTTATGTGAATGTTGGTATGTTCCTTGAAGGAATTTCAAGGAATTGGTCTGAATTCATGGGCTTCGAGTCATTCATAGCATTTCCCTATAATATTGTTTAATGTCTATGGGATCAAAAGTTGTGTTCACTTTTTTCATTTTTGGTAATGTTAATTTTTGTCCATTCTTCCCCCCCCCCCCCGCTTGGTTGTCTTGCTGAAGACTGATCAATTTCAGGTCTAATTATTGCATTCTTTCTTCATACCTGCACCTCATTTTTCTTAAACATTTACCACAAAACTTATAATTCATTTCAAGGCATATTTTCTCATGCTTTTCTGCACTTAACAATGACAACAATGGCAAGAACAATTTGTTAAGCCAGTTTATCTCACCCAAGACTTGCTGAAACAGAGTGGGAATCTCCATACTTCGGAGAAATACCAGGTAATTCTTACATGGAAGGAAAAACTAAATAATATGAGTTATTTGAATTGTATATAATGTAATTTGTTTACTATGTGCTGATTTCTTTCCCCCAAGCAGAGAATACCCCTGAGAGTAAAATAGAATACCTTTAATTTCCTTTGGTTTCCATATTTCTTGCCATGTAGTGAGTATTAAGGAAGATATATCACATTAAAACTCAAATTGAAATCATTTAGCATTTGATTTCAAATATGTTTTGGATCTTTTGCTCCAAACAAACAAACAAAAAAATGGAGGGGGTGTACCTACTGAAATGTGTTCAAGGGGCTATTTTCATCCTAATAAACATGAAAAGCAGTCTTATTTAAAAGGCACCTCTAAATGAAACAATGTCCATAAAGACATTTTAAAAAGTATTCTTTTGTTAGGTACTAACAAAAAATTTTAAGGAATTAATTTCAGTATAAGGTAAAAAATATTAGCTAAAATATTCTTGGTAGAAAATAAAGTAACCACCAATAGTGATGCTGTAAAACACATAACCCCTGCTAATATTTGGGTGTGGTTCACTTATTTGACTCAAAGATAGGTAATATTTTTACTGGTAGTAAATATACAACTCTAGTGATTCTGTATTATTTTCAAATCATGCCATGTTTTTAGCTATGTTCATAAGCATCATTGTCAAGCATTTATCATCTATTGTCTTAATTACACTATGATTAGATATTTAAATTGTTTCTAACACTTTATTATTATAAATAATAATATAATAAACATCTTAATCCTTAAAGCATTTTTTTAGAATTATGTATTCTTTAGTATTCTCAGAAGAACAATACATAGGTGAATAGATATACCAATTTAAAAAATCTAAAGAATTCATTTACTGGGTTATAATTATAATTTTATATATATACATATATATATGTATATATATATACCACACATATGCTTACATTAATTATTAAAAGTACTATTACTAAATAAGAACTATATCTACATATCAGAAGTCAGTGTTTTATGATTAGGAATTACACTGGAAAAATGGGATCATTCCTCTGTCTCAAAAATTTAAAGAAGCTTCTTTGTATCATAGCCCCTACAAAGTGCAAAGCAGTAGCCAGCATCTTTTTTTTTTAAAGATTTTTATTTATTTATTTGACAGAGAGAGACACAGCGAGAGAGGGAACACAAACAGGAGGAGTGGGAGAGGGAGAAGCAGACCTCCCGCTGAGGAGGGAGCCTGATGTGGGGCTTGATCCCAGGACCCTGGGATCATGACCTGAGCCAAAGGCAGACGCTTAATGACTAAGCCACCCAGGAGCCCAAGTAGCCAGCATCTTAATAAATACATGGAAGTTTGTAAAATTCTCAGAACTGTGAAGTGTGGAGAGCAGATGAGTAGGGAAGGTGGTGGAAGGAAACGTAGCAGGTTTTTATGCCTAACCAGGTCTACAGTCAAATACTGAAAAAAAATGAAAATATAGTATCTGAAAATAACAGACTAGATTAATAGATGATAAGCATTGTTTAATTGCAATACAGAAACTATTTCTAACCGATTGAATTTATTTCATTTTTACTACTTTAAGTGGTATCTTGGGAAAGCTTTCTCAATTTTTGAATATTAAGCAGGATTTAAATGGAGTGCATTTTGGTCAGCTTTGCTTCTGACTCGGCATAATCAACTGTTTCTTTTCCCTCACTACTTACCCCAAATGAGTAGAGTTGATTTCATTGAATTTTGGTCGGTGATTGCCTATTTCTTTTACGACTGCAATTGCTTATTTCACTACAACTTTATCAATAGTGAGCTCCCTGTTTTAACTGGTTTAAATTGTTGCAAACTTAATAAGTACCATATAGAGAAATGCAGATTTATCTTTTACATTTCTATGAAATTTTATTTTCAGCCTAATTTGTATTCACTCATTTGTTAATACGAAGCTGGCCTCCCAAACATACCTGATAGGAGATTTCCTCTGATCTGGATCTATGGCGGAGACCATGCCTACAAATGATCCACGTGGGCTTTCTTCAAAGATTTCAAATAGGTAATACGGGAGGAGGAACACAGGAGGTTCATCTTCATCTTCCACCTGGACCCTAATGAGAGTGGTTGAAGCTTCAACATGGTATTCCACGAGCTTCTCATCAACATGGCGGTTTTTAACATTTGCTCTAATACGATATTGGTTTTGGTGCTCAAAATCCACTTTCTACAAAGAAATACAGTGTACAGAAGAAGAAATGGCTTCAGTAACCCAAGGCACTATTTAGAAAAAAGGTTGGGTTATTAAGTCTCAGTTGCTTTTTAGTCAGATTTCGCTTCTTATGTACTTGGTTTGATCCCTCTAATATTATCATTAAGCAGCTACATTGCAAATCCCTGTGTTTTGTTATTTATGTCTGTTATAAAATGTTTTAGAATAGTAACTATATATTTTTAGGATTAAAATTATACTTGTTTGGGCATAAATATCCTATGGAATTGAGAATTAATTTTTTTATTTAATATCTTTCCAAAACGTTTGTCCTCTAAAAATCTTTAAAAGCATAATAAAAAACTGTTCTACAATAATTTGAGACTTTGTAATAACTCTGTCTCATCTCTAAGTTCCTTTGCTCCCTAAATCATAAATCACAGGTTCTCATTTCAATTACTTAATGAAGCAATAACTAACTGGCTACACAAAATAATTATATGTATTTCTGATTTGATTTTGTATTCTTCTGCAAAGTAAATATTGAAAATATATCTACCTTTTTTAATATAACTATTCCTTCTTGTGTCTCATTATTAGTAATTATGTCAAATGTTTGTGAATCATCTTCAATGCTGTAATCCATTTCCGCATTCTCTCCAATATCATTATCATATGCCATGATTTTTCCTATTGAAGTCCCAGCGGGTGCAGATTCAGAAACAGTCAAGCGGTATAAACCTTTAAAAACAAAATTCAAGATATTTCACACAAATAATAAACATAAGAAATTTCCAATTTTAGCACCCCATTTTTGTGGACTATGGGAAAACCCATACTCTCACTTTCTACCAGTTACTTATTCTAAATCAGTATCTATCTATCATCTATCTATCTATTTATCTATCTGTCTATCTCTTCTTCTTTATTTTTGTGATCTGTATTTTGTATTTCCCTAACATCCTAGTTGAGCATCTATTAATGTCTCTCAAATATAACTTAGGGAGTCTTAGCACCAGTACATATAATTTCCAAATTTCTATTCATATGTATACTTTGTTGATATTTTTGGATTTTTTTATTATATCATTCAACCATCCCAATTAAACTTGATAAAAATAGTTTTCAATTTCACTTAAGCATTCTCTGATATCTAGAGTTACTCGTAAATGTAAGTGTGGATTAGAGATGGGAGAGAATAAAGCAAACAAGTAGCTCTAAGGGTAATAGTTTGATTTTTAGATTCTGAGCCTGAGTGCGTTGACCATTGTGGAAATGAGGGGGGAAAAAAAAAAAAGTGGATCCACAGGAGTTAGTGAGTGGATGAAGTAGGAAAACCATGAGCTTCTCAGATGACCCCATTGTTGCGGTCACGTGAAAACAATGGCAGTTATATTTGAAATACATAGATGTAAGTAAAAATAATCAAGCTTTGTTTCCTTTATTTTTCAGAAGTAACTTGCATAAAACTGATAAAGAGTTAGCTATTTGTAAATTATTATTTGTGGTTTATGTTAAAATGTAGGAAATAATCATATATATCAATATTCTAAAGAATGAAACTTGGGGGCCTGGATGGCTCATTTAGTTAAGCATTTGAATTCGGCTCAGGTCCTGATCTTAGGGTACTGGGATTGAGCCCCACCTAGAGTCCCATGTCCGGCTCCCTGCTCAGCGAGGAGCCTGCTTCTCCCTCTGCCTCTGCCCCTCCCCACGCTCATGGTCTCTCTCTCTCTCTCTCAGATAAATTAAATCTTTAAAAGAAAAAGTGAAACTTTGTAGAATTTAGAAAAGAAGCACATAATAAAATTTTTCCTTAAAGAGATTACTGATAGAATATGGCAAGTCACTTCACAGATTGCTTTGTGAGATGTCCTCTCCTTTTTAACATGGGAGAAATGTTACTTAAAAATTGACAATACTTTTACTATTTTCAGGAAGTAATAGCTTAACTCGGCTGCAAAGTGGTTTTTGTTGTTGTTGTTTTGTTTTTTCATTGTGGGAAAATGCATACTTGAGAAAACAGAATTTCAGGAAGTGGGAAGAGCAAGCCAAAAGGCCACAAAACCAGTGGCTGAAGTTTTCCAGTGACAGAGAGTAGGTCAATTGCCTGGTGTTGGTTTGTCCATGAACAAGGAGTATAATGCTAGTACATGATCTCCTAGAGGTAATGGAACAGGACTGGATGATGGCAAATTATTTAGGACAATGGAGGTTATATTAAGGCCTGTGACTTTTTCTCTGAGTGACATGGTAAGACATTTAAGTGATATGATCTGACCTGCATTACAACAAGATCACTGAAGTTGTGTCGGAAGTCGGTCAGAGGAGAACAAAAGCAGAGAGATTAGATGGGAGCCTATGGTAATAATGGAGACAAATTAAGAGGGTAGCATGATCCAAGGTTGCAAATAAAATTGGTGAGAAATGTTCAGATTATGGATATTTTTAAAAGGTAGAGCCAACAGTATCTGCAGAGGACTGAATTTTGGATATGAGAGAAAGAACAGAGGGGAAGCTGACTTCAAAATCCTTAAACAAAGTAAGTTTCTATTATCAGGAGAGATTGTGTGTGTGTGTGTGTGTGTGTGTGTACTCACAGAATACTGAAAATCAGGGACTAGCAGGAATTGTGCAGAATTGATCATCGATTCAGTCTGAGTTAGAAATTAGAATTGAGGGCGCCTGGGTGGCTCAGTTGGTTAAGCGACTGCCTTCGGCTCAGGTCATGATCCTGGAGTCCCAGGATCGAGTCCCGCATCGGGCTCCCTGCTTGGCAGGGAGCCTGCTTCTGCCTCTGACCCTCCCCCCTCTCATGTGCTCTCTCTCTCTCATTCTCTCTGTCTCAAATAAATAAATAAAATCTTAAAAAAAAAAAAAAAGGAAAAAAAAAGAAATTAGAATTGACCTAGATTTGACCCAGTGTAATCCAAGTTGAATTGTTTGAATTGAACTGAATTTGAATTGAATGGGTGAGATTTTGCCCTGAGCAATGTGAAGACTGGATTTGGTAGTCTTTGAAATGGGAAAAGCTGTAAAAAGAAGAGGTTTGGAGGAGGAGGCAGGCATGATCAAGAACTCAAATATATGTCAAGTTTAAATGTATATAACATATAAATGAAGATATTGAGTAGACAGTTGGATATCCACATGGGGGGGTTCATTGGAGAGGCTCATACTGGGGATATATATCTGGGAGTTGTCAGCATAGAGGTGGCATTTAAAGTCTTGAGGCCAGATGAGAACATCAAGGAGTGAATGCAAAAGGAAGAGAAATGAGGTCCTAAGGCTTGATAGCAGAAATACACTAAAATTTACAGTATGTAGAGGTGAAGACAAAGGAAGACTATTAAAAAGTGACCAGTGAGATAGACAATAAAGTACATGAGAATGGAGTAATCCTGTCAAACCCTGCTGAAAAATCACACTATATTAGGACTGAGATTTAGTTGCACATAGATTGATAGAATTGACCAGATCAGTTTGGTCAAGTAGCATGGATGAAACTGAACTGGAGTGGGGTCCAAAGAGTTTAAAAGACAGTAAATAGGTTGATGAGTTTGACACTTTAAAAATTCTTTTCTCTAAAAGAAAAGAAAATGAAGCATGGTTAGCTAGACATGGTAGTGGAGTCAATAATGTATTTATTTTATTCTGTTTTTAAGATGAAAACAACAACCACATGTTTTGAATGTTAATAGTCATTAACAAGCAGTGTGGATACCCTTGATTGAGAGGTGAGGGGAGGTTGTACATATCAGAGGAGATATGTATTAAATATTTAAAATGAGAGGAGGATAACGGGATTACAATAAGGGAAAGCAGTTTGAACAAGAGTAAGGAGGTCAGCATGCTTCTGTTCTGGAAGAATAGTCAATATACATATTTTCACATAATTATGCTGTGGGATGGAAATAGAGAAAACTATTTTAAAGAGTGAGGTAACTTTATGGAGCTAGAATCATGTTCACCCACACTCAAATTTGAAAGTAGTAATGCTATCATCTTACATGAGGGGTCTGGGTAGCTATAAGAATTTTAGAAAGTATTTTAAATATTCTAACTTATTCAGATATGTATCAATACATACATATATATACATTGTTATTTATAATTATAGATTGTTTATCAATGTTCATAGACACATAGTTATATATTATATGGACACATTGTTATATAATTATATATGCACACTGAAGTATATATATATATATACATATATATATAAAATGTTGAAGTTGAGAAAAATGAAAAGAAATAAGGATGGGAGCAGAGCTTCAAGGACATTCTTGTCTCAACAAACATTCCTTGTGGGTACTGCCTTCGTGAGTCCTCAACTTATTATTCACCTTCATCTGAATAAAACATAGACTAGATTTATTCAATATATTCACCTGCTACTTTTCTACATTTAGTATCTGGCAGTCATTTTATGAAGTCCTGGGTATTTCAGATTTAATTACACATCACCTTCTTGTCGTTAGGACACACACTTTGTAGAGATAATACATTTTATAACATGAAGATGAAGGTCACAGACTGCTGCCTTGTTGCCTAAATTCCATCCAAAGAGGAGCTGTTTCATTTACTCATAAAGAAATGAGGACATGTGGCTTAAATTGTACAAGCTGCAATGATGTAGGATGAGTAAGTTTAAAAATCCCGTGTACAGCTTAGTGACTACAGTTAATAATACTATATTGTATAATGGGAATTTACTGAGAGAACATCTCAGGTGCTCTCACCACACACACATACCCACACAAGGTAACAATGTGAGGAGATGGATATGTTAGTTAGTTTGACTGTAGTAATGATTCTGCTATGTATATGATATCAAAACATCATGTTGTATACCTTAAATATATACCATTTTTACTTTTTAAAAAATGGCCACATTAACCTGAAAAATTTAAAATTTGACAATAGCACAGAAATAAACAGCCAGATTTCTAATATTTCTTGAAAAGTCAGAAGATCTGATAACTCTGGGCCTGCCACAGATTAGCAGAACTGAATCCCATCTGCATCATTTAGGGGTGTGTGTGTGTGTGTGTGTGTGTGTGTGTGTGAAAGAGAGAGAGAGAGAGATCTACTTTTCTCTTTGATACATGCTTATATATTCCTCCTATCATGATAATTGCTCATGATTTCTAAAATTGCTTGTAAATGTATTTCCGTAGCTAAGACAGAATCCTCAGAGGGGGGAGGGGAATCCTAAGGAAAAAAATAATTTCTCCTAAGAATTTCACAAGAAATTCCTTCTGAAGCACACGAAGTGATTTAACTTGCATTTACAACTCAAATTATCAGAGCAGTTGGGGCCTATTCATGCTACAAAAGTAAAAGATACCCACACATATAAGGCCAGTTAATTTATGATAAAGGAGCCAAAAATATGCAATAGGAAAATGTCAGTTTCTTTTTTTTATAAAGATTTTATTTATTTATTTGACAGAGAGAGACAGCGAGAGAGGGAATACAGGGGGAGTGGGAGAGGGAGAAGCAGGCTTCCCACTGAGCAGGGAGCCCGATGTGGGGCTTGATCCCAGGACCCTGGGACCATGACCTGAGCTGAAGGCAGACGCTTAACGACTGAGCCACCCAGGTGCCCCAAAATGTCAGTTTCTTTAATAAATGGTGTTGAAAAAATTGGACAACCAAATGCAAAAGAATGCAACAGAGCCATTGTCTTAACCATATACAAAAATTAACTCAAAATGGATTAAAGACTTGAACTAAGACCTGAAACCAACTCTTAGAAGAAAACACAGGCAGTTAGCTCCTTCACCTAGATGTTGGTGATTTTTTTTTTTTTAATCTGACACCAAAAACAAAAGCAACAAAAGAAAAAATGAGTGGACCATATCAAACTAAAAAGCTTCTTCACAGCAAAGGAAACTATCAAAAAAATGAAAAGACAACTTACTGAATGGGAGGAAATATTTGCTAATCATATATCTGATAAGGGACTAATAGCCAAAATATATAGGAACTCATAGAACTCAGTATCAAATAATAATAATAATGGGCAGAAGATCTGAATAGACATTTTTCCAAAGAAGGCATACAGACGGCTAACAGGTACATGAGACAATGCTCTGTATCATTAATCATCAGGGAAATGCGAATCAAAACCACAATGAAATATTACCTCACACCTGTTGGAATGGCTATTATTCAAATACCAGAAATAACAAGTGTTGGTGAGGACGTGTAGAAAAGGGAACCCTTGTGCACTGTTAGTGGGAATGTAAATTGGGGCAGCCACTATGGAGAGCAGTATGGTGGTTTTTTGAAAAATTAAATGTAGAACTACCTTAGGATCCAGCAATTGCACTTCTGGGTATCCATCCAAAGAAAATGAAAACACCTATTAGAAAAGATATCTGCACTCCCATGTTCATTGCATTATTATTCACAATAGCCAAAATATGGAAACAACCTGACTGTCCATCAGTGGATGAATGGATAAAGAAGTTAAGATACACACACACACACAAATATTACTTGGCCATAAAAAAGAATGAAATCTTGTCATTTGCAAGAACATGGATAGACCTCAAGGGCACTAGGCGAAGTGAAATAAGTCAAAAAAGACAAAGACCATATGATCTCTCTTATATGTGAAATATTATATATATTTTTTATATATATAAATCATAGGTGAATACAGAAATAGGTGAATTGTGTTTGTTTCTGTTTTTAGTTTTAATATATTGGATAAAAATAAAATTAAAATTAAAAAATAAAATATTATCATTTCAAATCATTACTGTGGTAGGTAGAAAAATGAATCTCCCAAAATATATGTGTTCTAATCCTCCAGAACTTATGAACATATTACACAAATTAAGGAATTAAGGTTGCAGGTGGAATTCATATTGCTAATTAGCTGATCTTGAGAGGCGGAGATTGTCTTGGTTCACCCAAGTGGGCCTGGTCTAATCACATCGGTCCTTAAAAGTGAGGAAGAGGCAAAAGTGTGGGTCACAGAGATGACTGTGTGTAGGATCTGACCCCTTTTGCTATGTTTCAGGTGCTTGAGTTATATCCAAGAATCAGAAAGGTGCCTTAAGGAGCTAATGGTGTCCTTCAACTGACAGCCATCAAGGAAACAGAGACCTTAATCCTACAAACATAAAGAACTGAATTTTGCCAACAACCAAATCCAAAGAAATGGATTCTCCCCTGGATCCTTGGGAAGGGAACACAGCCCTGCGGACACCTTGAACTTAGTCTGGTGACACCTGTAACAGATTTCGTTAAGATAATAATTTGTTTAAGACATGAAGTTTGTGGAAATTATTACAGAAGCAATTAAAAGAAAACACATTACTCTTTCATTTGTATTTGACTTTTCACGCTAATAAAAATTATCTCGCAGAATAATTAAAAATTATTTTATATAATTCTACTGCTGTTGCAGTGCTTTAGATGTAAACGCTAACACCTGCTTATATTTGACATACGTATAATTATGTTATAATTAAAATTCAACATTTTTTCTACTTACGTTCCTTAAATATAGGTTTATTGTCGTTCACATCAGAAAGTTTAATTAATACACTTGTTGTTCCAGACAGTGCCCCAGGCAGACCAATCATATCTTTGGCTTGAATAATTACCCAATACTCATCTTGCAGTTCTCTATCCATTTTAGAAGATATTCTTATGACTCCTTTAAAAATGTAATAAAACTTCAATTATTATTTCATTATTAACCACGGTATCCTCCTAGTTAATTTCTTAAGAATTCAATCATATAATCATTCTTTTGCCACATTTTAAACCACTACAATGTGCTAGACACTACCTTGAAGAAAAAAAAAATAATAATAATAAACACCAACTCTGCCTGGAGTTTAGAATAGTCACCAAATACTAAGAACACTAGTAGACCCTTAACAAAATAACTATGTTAATAAAATCTGCAGGTAGAAAACAGGGATATCTTATTTTTACCTCAAATTATTTTCTGCTGTCTTCTCTAACATAGTATTAGTGTGTTACAATTAACTTTTCCCTTAAATTTGAAGGAAGTTAATTATGAATAAATGTATAAATTACAACAACAAATTTATGGAAAAAATATTGTGCACCTGTGATGTTAAAGTCTATTTCAAGTCATAATTTGTGAAGAAAGGTTTGTTTTTGACCAACAGTTATTCATAATCTACAATAGAGATAAATATACACTCAGATTTTCAAACTCATGATGGACCATAATAAATGTAATAAATATCAACTTTCTATAAAATTATTTAGGGAAAAAGTAGTTATCACTGAAAAAAAGAAAACTAGGAAAAATTTCAGGTGGTGCATAGGACAAGGGGATGCTGGCCTAAAGATTTTGGGAACACTAACACAAAGAAAGAGAATGTCCAGTCCTCAGATATGTCTGGGGAAAAGTGTACATTAAAAAATTGTGAGACCTGTAAAAACAAAAAAGGATAAATTGGACCATATTGTGACAGCATTTTAATTGTGGACTAAAGTGTTTTACAAGTATAATCTTTTATATGAATCACTATAGAAAACAGTGAATGTATTAAACAGACACTGCAAGTATCTCCCTATGTTTGATTCTGGAGAGAATTGGGTATGAAGGTGTATCTCATGTGGTTTTAGTTTGCATTTCCATGATGACTACTGAGGTTAATCATTTTTAATATGCTTGCAGGCTTTTTGTATATCAAATTTTAGTCAATTGTTTTAAATGTCTTTCAGCATATTTTTAAATTGGGTTTTCTTTTTCCTATTGATTTGTTGTAATCTTTACATATGTTTTATACCTTACACACAAATGATTTGTGGTATAGATTTGGAAAACTCAATTTCTGAAAGTTAGAAAAATCAGCTAAAAGCCTAAAAAGAATTAAATGTTTAAAAGTACAACCAATTTATTTATTGAAACATCAGGTCTACTGTATAACATGTTTATAAGCAGAAGATTTTTGCTCTGACATTTGCCTACTTTGAATCCTGTTGAATTGCACTTTATTTCATTCAGAAATACCTGTTGTTGGCTCAATGGAGAAATATGGTTGGCCTTGTAGTAAACTGTACAGGAGACGAGCATTATTGCCACTTGAAGGATCATCAGCATCATTTGCTGTCACTTGGATGACTAATGTTCCTGAAGAAAATATAAATAGTAACAAGAAATTAAGACTGTGGTATTATTGAACAATGTGGTATTATTGAACAATGCATTCAGTTCTATACAACATTATTTCTTTAGCAAGCAAGATGATGATATACAATGAAAGATGAGCCCTCCTTATTCAGAATTATAAAACTAATATCATTCTGTATAAAAAAGAGAATATAGCCTCATGCAACATAGCCCTAACTCCTATATGCAATGTAGAATTTTAAAATGTAGATCTGTGCCATAATGAACTATAACTCTTAAACGATCCATTACAAGATCCACTCAGGATCTTTCAAAGGTGTATTATTAGTGGAAGAATGAAAAGGGAATTGGAAGCAGTTTACTTTAAAAATCATATTGTGACCTGTAACTCAAAAAAGTCACAGAATATTGATAAAATATTAATAAAAATTATTGAAATGTGCTTGAGTTAGTATCAAGTTGAGGACGTGCATAATTATCTTCCCTGTTTAATTCCCTTCTATAAAATACTTACTTACTTTGAAGAACTCTTTTTTTTTTAAAGTACAAAGCAAAATCTACCAGATATTGATAGTGTTCTCATTGAAATTCAGTAACAATCAATAAAACACAATGTAAGTATTTGTACATTTAAACTCCATTCTTAAATCAAACATATTTCTTTAAAAATATTGAGCTTTTTAATCATCTTTATGTAAATATAGAATAGCATTATGGGCCTTGTTGGAAATCTGCATTTATTGAAATATTATGTTCTGTGTCAATAAGATGGCAACATGAACAACACAGAATCAAATAGCTTATGTGATTTCACTTATCACAAGATATCACTTATATGTGGAATCTAGAAAAGCTGAGCTCATAGAAACAGAGGGTAAACTGCTGGTTAACAGGGGTTTAGGGTGGGTTAATTGAGAAAATGTTGATCAAAGCCTAGAAAACTGCAGTTACAAAATGAGTAAGTTCTAGAGAGCTAATGCACAGCATGGTAATTATAGTCAACAATATTATATTGTATATTTCAAAGTTGCCAAGAGACTTGATCTTAATGGTCTCCCCCCTCCACACACACAAAAGATAATTATATGATGTAATGAAGATGCTAGCTAATCCAAGGTGGTAACTATATATTGCAATATATAAATGTATCAAATCAACATATAGTAGACCTTAAACTTACACAATGTATATGTTGAATATATCTCAATAAAATAATAAATAAATCAATAAATAATCAGCAAATAATAAAAGGCATTTCTGTAGTAATTGTAAACAGTTATTCCAAGAAAAGGATTCTTAGGGACCATCAATTCAGTTTGTATTGGGCAAGAATTGTTCTTTTAACTACCCTATGTGCACACCTCCATTTACTTTTTCTACATTTCCTCTCTATGTGTCCATTTAATTTCTTTCTAGGAGTGTCCCATCCCTAGATTCCAGAACTAGACTACCTGTTTAGTCTAGCTTCAGGAGCAATAGTCAAAATCATCTTATGGTTAGTTGTTGACCAAAAGAAATTCTTACTCTTAAGACTTTAGACTATACAAATGAGTCCCAGGAAGATCATGAAAATGCATTGACTCACAGATCACCCTGTACTTCGTTTATAGAAAAACAAGTTACAAAGTTAGGTTTTTTTCCCCATTTTTTTTCAAGCACATTTTAAATTGATGCTTCATTTACTTCTAAGCAGAACATACCTCTTCAATGTTCTAATGTATCACTCCCTTGCTCTCCACTAAATGGAAAACGTAATATATTAATGAATCACATAAAATAATTTCTCCGAGTGTGTGGAAAATCCAAAAAGTCAAACTCTTAGAAATTAAGTGGATAAAAACAATATTATAAATATTCACAATAACTTTCTAATGTGAATTTATTAGGAAGTTAAATTTCTGAGGAAATATTATTCTCTCTTATAAGCTTTATAGCTGTTTTAAATCAACAGTAACAAATCTATGGAATTGAGATAATTCTACAATGTTCAATGGCACCCAGTGCTTGATAATGAACATTCATTAACTACTAGTGATTTACTCCTTATATTTGTTTGTGTGTGTATATGTGTGAGACCGTGCATATACATGTCTATCCTATTTTAGGTTACCATCAAAGTATATAAAATAAATTAAGATGATAAAAATATGCAACAGAATTTTAAAAATATCATTACATATAGTTTAATTCTTATGATTTATAAATTATTGGTTGTAAAATTCAGAAGGAACTTAGCAATGTTTAAGTCTTATATCACTCTAATTATATAACTTTCTTTTATTTACTTTATCTGTTTCCCGCTTTTTTTAATTGACATCACAATTCATTAAATACAAGTTAAGCAACTTTAAACCCTCTTATTTTCTAAATGGTTTTTCTAAAAAAAATCAAAAGACATAAGCCTATATATTTTTCTAGCCAGTAATTTAAATACTACAGAAATCTTCAAGATATAGTCAAGTAACATAAACTATAATAATAAATAAACATCAGAGTAGCCGAGAAATACAAAAACCTTTGATATGATTTTTTTTTTATGTTTTCCATTTATGTTTTCCTTGTCATTTGTAAAAGAATCTATCTGTACATTCACTCGCAGTTAGGAATTAGCTATATATTATACACAAAATTGAAACAAAAAATCACTATAAGACCAATAATGTGTCCTTCAATGAAAAAAATCAGTAACTGTTCACAGACCCTTTCCCCCCTTTTCCTATTACCAGTTAAATATAAGTAAAGGGACACTTCACGGTTGAAACAAATAAATGTTTAATTGCTCCTCATTGTTATATAAACATATGTAACTCTTCCTTTATTTGTCAGTAAACTCAGAGCGGTACTATTCACATTTGAATAAAAATGATTAGCACGGGGAAGGGGAAAATGAAGGGGGGGAATCGCAGGGGGGAAAGAACTATGAGAGACTATGGTCTCTGAGAAACAAACTGAGGGTTCTAGAGGGGAGGGGGTGGAGGATGGGTTAGCCTGGCGGTGGGTATTAAAGAGGGCACGTTCTGCATGGAGCACTGGGTGTTATGCACAAACAATGAATCATGGAACACTACATCAAAAACTCATGAAGTATGGTGATTAACATAATATAATAATAAAAAAATGAATAGCACGGGGATGTTCTTTGCAAGTACAGTAGCCTTTCTTTCTTTTTTTTTTTTTAAGATTTTATTTATTTATTCATGAGAGACAGAGACAGAGAGAGAGGCAGAGGGAGAAGCAGGCTCCCAAGGAGCAGGGAGCCCGATGTGGGACTCGATCCCAGGACCCTGAGATCATGACCTGAGCCGAAGGCAGACGCTTAACCATCTGAGCCACCCAGGCGCCCTACAGTAGCCTTTCCAGGCTTACATAATCACTGTTTTTATGACATGATCTTTGTTTACTGTACGAATCACTCTGAGCAGTTCTATGGGAACTGTGGCTCCAACCTCCTGGTCGTCCCATTCCCTAACAATACCTGCCCATCACTATAAATTGAAGCTGATTCTAAAATATTGTGGGCATTATTCTACGTAAGAACATAATTCATGCAGGCCCGTCTCAAGCATACTTGTGGAACTATTTTTAAGTGTTTATTTTCATAGGAGAAGTCACTTTGAATTTTTGATGACTAAACTTCAATGATGTTTTAACGTTAGAAAATGAACCAATATAATTTGTGGCACTAATGGCTTAAAAAAGAAAAATGTAAAGCAAAAATTCTCATTAGATATTTAAAACACATTGGAAAATATTCCATTTCTATTTTCAATAAAACCTCAGAAAATTAGGGAGAAAGGCAGTTTTCTAAATTTGATAAAGGGCATTTTTAAACTTTGACAGCAACCATATTTAATTGCGAAGAGTTAGAACTTTTCCTTCTGAAGTAGTTAAAAAGCAAGAAGTTTATTATCATTGCTATGTTTTAAAGCATTGTATTGAACCTCCTAGACAATGCAATGAGGCAATGCCATGTATACCAAAATGAATGATTAAAGATGATGTTGATGACGGACAAAAATCCATATATGATGGATGGATGGATGGATGGATGGATGGATAGATAGATAGATGATAGATAGATACTGGAAACATTTTTTTAAATTACAATAATTATTCAAAGGCAACAGTATTTTTGTTAGAAAATCAAGCAGAATATACCTAAAAAAAAAGTTTACAGGAGAATATTAAATTACTAAATTAGAAAGGTCACAGGAATAAAAAATACACAAAACTCCATTTTTATGTATACCAGAAATATATATTTATAAAATATTTCAACTAAATGCATAACATATATAACAAATAAATATATCCAGGAATATCTAAACAAAAAATTTTAAAGATCTCTACAAAGAAACTAAAGATCTTTTATTTTTAATGATCAAAAAGGAAAAAAATGCTGGGTTTATGAATTTGATGACTACATAGAAATATCAAAAATAGATCCACAGTGTAAATGCTATCCTACTCAAAATCCTAGCAAGTTGTATTACTGGATAAATTAAAAAGATGATTATGAAATATGTATGGAAATGCAAAGAACCAAGCATGGCCAAGACGATTTTGATGAAACATCTGGAGGACTTGCATTGCACTAACAGACATCAAGGCTTAGGACACAACCACAGCAATAAAGACAATATAGTGTTAGTCCCTGGAGCAACAAAAGATGATAAAACTGACAGAGATTCAGAACCCAAATCATACGTATGTGGGGAACTCATTCATGCAATGGTGGCATAGTTGAGAATTGGAGAATCATTTCAATAAATGCTGCAGGGTCAACTGGATATCTCCATCCATCTACACATCTGTCCATTGGTTATCTCTCTTTTGATCTAGAATTTGGCACGTGCTTGACACCATTCACAAAAATCAGTTTAAAATAAATTGTAGATATAGATGTGAAAGGTATATAACACGGGGCACCTGGGTGGCTCAGTCGGTTGGGCGTCTGCCTTCGGCTCAGGTCATGATCCCGGGGTCCTGGGATCGAGCCCCGCATCAGGCTCCCTGTTCGTGGGGAAGCCTGCTTCTCCTTCTCCCTCTCCCACTGCCCCTGCTTGTGTTCCCTCTCTCGCTGTGTCTCTCTCTGTCAAATAAATCAATAAAATCTTAAAAAAAAAAGAAAGGTATATAACACAAATATAACAGAATAATAAAACTTCCATAAAAATAGGAAATTTTTTGTATAACATCAGAGCAAAAAGACAAATGCCAACACTTCTTAATCAGGATTGGGTGATTGATAACCTGATAATTGTCTCAATGCCCAAATCCCTGTTTTTGTTTGTTAGACATACTCATTTGTTCCTTTTTCCCATCCTGGATTGGTTGCTCTTACTCTATTGAAATGGCATTCAGTAGAATGTTATCCTTAATGGTGCATTACTCAATCAGTGTATGAAACATGGTACATGCCCCTATGAACCAACCTGCTTAGCCTCTTCATTCATTTCATCAACATTTTATTGTGCTCTCACTAAAACTGACAAAGTTGGTTTAACTACATTGGTGGATCAAAAATTAAAGTTTCTTTATATTATGCTAGTAATAAAGTTACTTCTAAAGGACAAATGATATATATGTACATTAATGAAAAATGCTTTATGTAGATAATTTAACATTAAATACATCACCAGATAGATATTTTTCACATGTATTTGCATTATTTAATCAGTTTCTTAGCTTAATTTTGTTTTTCTGAACAGTGCCCTGGGTTATCACTAGCCCTCTTTCAGATTTAATCATGACTTAAAAGGAGACATTTTATTCAATGCCCATATGTCTCATACACTACTTCTCACACCCCATGGAAGAGCCGCAAGTACAAAGTAGATGTCCTCCAAATTCACTCTGGCTTACTATAATGCACCTACTAATAATATTTAAAAAAATAAAAAATCAGGACCAAATGCTTTCTGGACAAAATCCCCTCAAAAATAGGATTAAGCAGGGCTGTCCTGGGTAAAACTGGAGATCTGATCACTATTAGTTCATAAAATCTTCCCAATCTTCCTGGCTATAACCTGAAACTGGCCCCTCAAAAGGAGGACAGGAGGAAACCAAAGGAAGAGGCAGACCACTCTAGATTGGTAGGTGGTAGTTGTATTGAGCAGGAGAACTTATTTATGAGGCTTGTTCTGGGTGGCTGTAAGACCAGTAGTTTTCTGGATCTTCCAACCAAGTCTTGAAAGTTACGGAGGCCTTACGTATCTTCTGTCACATATACCATCCAGATAGTCTCAACACCACATCTCTATGTCAAGTCTGGGTGCTTGCGGCAGCTGCAGGGAGAGGAACCAGGCTAGTGGAACCCACATTCCAAGGACAGGGGAGGGGCTGAGGAGTCTCCAATTTCCCAGGCCCAGCACACAGTTCGACTGGCAGTCACATCCTCTCAATGACCACCCCCAACGTTCTACAACCTCGCGACCTGTTCTTACAATCTTATATGTTCCTCTCTACTATAATGTGGCCTGAGCCGGCAGTAAAGGGCTTCACTAGCATGGAGGTGGCTCATCTGGTAGCTATCTGGCTGCCCTGAAGGCAGGTAATACTGACACATACAAGAAAAATACAGATTAAGACAATAATTTCCCAATCAGTGACAACTGTTTCCACCAAGAATCCCATGATCTGAACCACTCATTTAGTAAGTCCCCTAAGCTGGGGGTCAGATCACTTGTATCTTCATGTGATTTAATAAAGATGACACACTGACAGAGTCATGAGGTATGAACACCTATCATTTGTTTGAATATTGGCAAAGGCGCCTCCTTGTGAGGCTTTAAGTGTCCAAGGCTGTTTTACTTCAGAGGGCAGCTTTTATCATCAGAGACATTTCAGTGTCCAATTAAGGGCAGACTTTGCTTGCTATCATTCAAGTCTTGCTGGGTGAATTTGGCAAGGGCTTCTATGTGTCCTAACGTCCTCAAGGCCAATGGAGGGAACAAACAAGGCAGCCAAATGATTAAACTAGCAGGAAACAATATGCCCACCCGGCCTTGGGGAGAGGGAAGGTGATAGCTTTAAGAAGTTGACCTGGCTGTGCATACCACATGTTAACTGAGGGGAGGCAGCACTACCAGGTGTAAGGAGATGAGCTGGGGGTGGGACATTCCAGACCAGGACCCAAACCTTCTTCTTTCTTTTATTTTTTATTTATTTTTATTTATTTATTTATTTATTTTTTAAAGATTTTATTTATTTATTTGAGACAGAGACAATGAGAGACAGAGAGCATGAGAGGGAGGAGGGTCAGAGGGAGAAGCAGACTCCCTGCCGAGCAGGGAGCCCGACGTGGGACTCGATCCCGGGACTCCAGGATCATGACCTGAGCCGAAGGCAGTCGCTTAACCAACTGAGCCACCCAGGCGCCCTTCTTCTTTCTTTTAATGCACAGTGTTCTATTTCAGGCGTATTCTGTTTCAACAGGTCCAGCTGAAGCAGGACAATGGGATCCCAGCGAGGAGCAAATAGTTCCCATTCACCCAGAGGTGCGAAGTAACTCACCCATCCTGGTGGAACATCTCATTGCAAATTCCGGTAAATAACTCTTTTCCCAGGCGTGTTGGGGCTCAGTGTTCTCAGAAGCAGAGCATGTGAATTTGAAGTGCAGAACTGGGGCAATGGCGGTTTCCCCTGGCTTCCACACCGTTAGGGTACTGGTATCCCAGCAGGGGACCCCAGTCTGTCATGTGGGCAACATTCTCCACTGGTTGATCATTCAAATCTATGAAAGCCTGGGACAGTACTTTAGTCCACTTGGCCAAGGAGGTTTTACTTGCTAGGAATTTAATCTGCTGCTTTGTATTTCACTTTTTTCTTTTTACCAACCCTGCTTCTTGTGCATTACCCAGGAGATGGAACCTCCATTCAGAATCATGTTCTTTTGTCTGTTCTTGCATATTATGATCTTTGAAATGTGACCCTTGATCACAATCTATCCATACACAGCGCTCAGTTTCTCTAATCCCCTAAGAGTGGCAGCCTGGTTCACACAATGACAAGGGAAAGCATGTTTCCACACAAAACTAGGCATGTTTAAAATTTTCACTCTTAGAACATGCCATGACTGGATTCTCTGTAATCAACTTCAAATATCATCTCCTAAAATGTCCCTTCCTCCAGTCAATCATCATCATACCTCACCCATAATTAATACATTCATACATAGAACATCAAATACCACCTTATTTAAAATAGTTACTGTTTGTGTGTTATAACTAAAATATAAGTTTCATACTAGCAATTACCTCCAAAATGACATTTCAAAAATTCTTCTAGTAAATGATAGGTCCATAATGTATGCTATTTAAGAAAGAGAAGGAGGAGTGGAAGGAGGAAGTGAATGAGGAGGAGAAGTATGGAGTGGGAAGAAGAAAGTTTCATTGCCTACCTACCAAATAGAAAAATATCAACGTGTCATTTACATCTAATGATAATTGGTCCTGATACATATTCACAGCTAAATTTGTTTATGTTGTAAAGACCTATGTTCTGAACACATGTAGAAAGAAGTTTTTAAATTGTTTCCTGGAATGTTAAAAAACAAGAATCAGGAAAAAATACAATAGAATATACAGTTTTAGATTTGGTGGCTAATAAATCAAATGTTTAGGTAAAGCAATTTTAAAGTATGTTAGTATAATTTAAAATGACCATTATGGAATAGAATTTATCACACTTAAGTAAATTTTATGAACTTAATTTTACTACATATTGTGCTATCAAAACTTTCTGACTCAATGAGTGAACAAATTTTGCATAGACACACCATAATTTCCTCTCCATTAGAAAGACATTTCTGATTGTCAATGCATTCAGTTCTTATATCTTATGGAAAGCACTTGCTTCTAGATGCATTACATTTAAAATATTTATAAAAATAGCATTGGAATGGAAAGGAACTTTGAAAATAAATACAGTTGCACAGAGCTTTTCAACCACTTTGTTTTGTTTTTAGTCTTTATGGTCTATGATTTTGATGCATAGAGTAATTGTGTCTTATAAATTGGCTTCTACCACTTAAACATGCATATTTTTCAGGATGACCTTATGTGCTTTTTTAAGATACAAAATTATATCTTGTTCTGGAAAATGCATTTTTATAATGGGGAAACTAGTAAGTGAATAAGCTGAAGAATTTTTAAATCACTAAAACAAATTTTTTAAAGATTTATTTATTTATTTATCAGAAAGAGAGAGAGAGAGAAGGAGAGAGGGAGAGAGCACGAGCAGGGGGAGCGGCAGGCAGAGGGAGAGAGAGAAGCAGGCTCCGGTGCTGAGTAGGGAGCCCAATGAGGGAATCAATCCCAGGACCCTGGGATCATGACCTGAGCTGAAGGCAGATGCTTAACTGACTGAGCCACCCAGGCATCCCTAAAGCATACATGTTTAACCCCTCTTTCTTGCCTTGAATACCGAGATATTTTAACAAGACAAATAATGTATTTATATATGTTACCATTGTTTACAAAATGTAAATGATAGTCTAATTTTTTAAATATTTTAGTTAACATGTTTGTAGAAGGAAGTACAAGTGTTGAACTTTAAATAATTCACTTCCAAAACATATGCTCAAAATTTTAAATCTGTTGTCATTGTTAATATATCTTTGATGTAAATTAATATGCAATACCTTCTGGAGACATCTCTGGTACAATGGCCTCATAAGGTTCATCTAGGAATTTTGGTTCATTGTCATTGATATCCGAAACTCTGATGACAAACTCAGACTCAGGTTCCACAGCCCTTCCAGTAGTGCTGTCTATTACCTGGGCTCTTAGAGTGTAGAGGGATCGTTCCTCTCTATCAAGCTTCTGGACGGCATATATGTCACCTGTTCTCTCATCAATGACAAAAGTACTTCCAGCTCCAGCTCCCAAAAGCTTGTACTGGAAAGAGTTGTTTCCATTGTCTAAATCAGATCTTAGCTGAAAGTGCAAAGAGGGATAATTTAGTTTCCAGACATATTTAAATGGACAAATCAATTTTAACAATTTTATTTTCATGTCTGTTAATTTTTCCCCAAGTTAATAACTCCATGTAATTCCCACAGTATATTAAATCAGGTGAAATATTAATTTTAAGATTAAATTCTATCATCAGGCAGAGGAGTCTGAAATTTCAATGTAAATCACTATATAAATTTTATTACTCTAAATGGATTATTCTAATTAGACACTGTAATAATTGAAAAACAAAGTACCTTTCATAAATTATGCACAACAAAGTTGGTTCATGTTTACCCTGTGATTACATTCTTGGTCACTAAAACCATAATCTCAAATATTTGTATTAGATTGGGATCTAGAGACAGATGGGAAGATAATATTCTAGATAAATCTAAACAGTGATGTTCTATCTCTAGGCTAAAAACACATAGGAAACATGAAAATATTACCAGGAAAATAAGGGAGCATGTTGAGAAGATAATGAGAGCCTCAGCCATCCTTGCTGGCATTTGTAACATGCCATAAAATCTATAAGTTGCTTTGTATATGATTTCCCAATTAATCCTCATAACATCGTGAAATATATATTATTGATATAATCATTTATACCGAGAAAGAGAGACTGAAAATTTTTAAAACTTTCACAAGAGTCATGATTTTTGTATAGGTTTGTATAGATTTAGACAACAGGTCTGTCTGACCCCAGAGACCCTACTGCTCTGAGTTTTGCCAAATTAGATCTAACTCTTTCTAACATATTCAACTCAATTCTCAAATACATCTTTTCTTCTTGTGCCCTCATTATTTTTATTTTTCAAAAGCAAATTTGTTCATTCATAGTGTTAATAGAATTGTGAATTTTATATATAAAAACAAGGGTTGTTATGATATAGGTAACATTGGTTGGTTGGTTTTTCATATCTAAATTATTTTTACGTATAAAGAAGAAGTATGCCATAATCCCCTAATTATTGTGAATCCATAGTTTTCTTGAGTCATCATTTATGAATATGTCCTTCTTCAAAGTAAGAGCTTCTCCGAAAATTTACAAAGCTAACCAAAGAAATACATCTTAAACAAATTCATAACTGTTCTGATAGTTCAAGGTAAAATGACTAATTAATACATTTCTCTGTGATTGGGTAGAATATCTGAAGATATCTAAAGCAATTAATTTTAATAATTTTAATAATGTGTTGAATAACACTGCTATTCATTGAAAGAAACAGATTGGGGATAATAATAAAGAGATAATAAAAGTGTTATAGCTCTTTTAATTTGATAGCTCTTCATTACTCATAAGATAAAAAGGAAGTTTCCATGACTTACTAATAAGAAATTTAGGGAAACAAATGTCCTTTCCAATAAGTATATCAAATGAAAGTAAGGTATGGCTATGTTTTTCAAATATCATTTTGATACAGTTTGAAAATATGATTCAATATCAGAATGATGATAAATCAAATTTAGTAATGAATAAATGTATTCCAAGTATATATACACAGTATAATTTTCATGAATCAGTGAGCTTGATCTTTTTAAGGACTCAGATTTAAGAAAAAAAAAATATATATATTTACTTATTTTTTTAAACATCAGCCTCTTAATGTCACAAAATGTATAAGTTAAAAACATTTTAATTTTATGAAATCTGTATTATTATATTTTCTGTATTTCTATTCAAAAATATTTTTTCAATTAGTCAGTTACTATTGATTCAGCAAATCAATATGCCTTTAATTTTTTACTTAATTGTGTTTTCCAAATTTAATCTCTGTTAATAAACAGTTCAAAAAGAAAGTGATCTGGACACATCAACTACATTTTAGTTTTACCAGCTCTTTAACTACAACACCTAAATATTCATTCTTACTCTCTCTTAAACCAGTTACCTGTATGTTATTTAAGACTAATGACATTGTTTCAGGGGAAAACATCTGTTAGATTATTTTCATAAGTATTTTTACAGAATGAAAAAAATAGGGAAAACCAATCACGATGTGAAAGGAGGCAACAGGAGATGTGCCCAGAGCACAAAAACAAAAACCAGAAAATGTGACAGTCAGCCAGGGAGGTAGTCTCTACTCTGATTGTACTGATGCACTTCCCTGTAGAGCCTTATTCACTAAAAGTCACCAGCCTCTGTTAGTCTGTGACCCCGCTCATTGATGGGAGAGCTTATAGGGCTCTGCGGAGTTCACTGTAAATGTGGCTACAGAGACTCAGTCAACTAGCAGACACTTAACTATGGATCTCATTTGTGTCATCCTGCCTCTGATTTACCTGCAGTCATCTTAGAGAATAAAAAGATGTGAGATGTGATTCAAAGCAGGCACACATACATACACAAATGTTTGAAATCTGTTTGCCTAAGATCCTAATCTGAACCTTCGGTTGAATATACACATATACATTTGCTGGATGGGATAGATGAACTCCTTTAGAATCTGGACATCACGCTAACACTGCAGCTCTCCTGAAAGTGCTAGGAAACCGGAGTTAATGAATTTTGAGTGCTTCACCCTTTGGCCCAATTAAATTTTAGTGCCAGTTAATTGGTGGTTAAACTTATTTCAGTTCATTCGTCTAGAGAAAGATCCTTACAGAAAAGGACACGGTATTGTAATTACCTCTGTTTAAAGAAAATTGAACAGTAATAAAAACCAAAAACATAAGTAAGGAATGTTCTATCTCATGAAGGAAATTTAATATATATATATATATATATATATATATATATATATATATATATATATATTCTTATAAGAAAGTAAAAATAATTATTCTTTATCCTTCATAATCAAATGAAGTGTGTAGGCTCTTGAAGCTACTTAGCTGTAAAAGGGTTTGGTATTAATCTGCTTCATGAAAAATTAATGATGGGTAAATCAACACCTACTGAGCATAATAGAAAATCAGGCTAAATACTGTTGGTAAACGTTATTATTCTCAGTGTGGTTGCTTTGATCCATTACCAAAAATTACACCATCAAATTTCCAGATGTCGACAAATGAGGGCAGTATTTTCATATGGGAGAAAAAAGTGAAATTTGAAATTCAAAGCTTTTCTTCTTCCTCAAGTTTTGCAAATATTTTAGGTGCTTGAAAATCTGAAACAATTAATTAGGCTGATGTCTGAAGCTTTCTAAGGGTTCCACTGAGAAAATGTAGAATTCATCAAATGCCTTAAAACTTCCTCAACCCATCCATTTAGATTTACATAATGTTATTTCCTGTAACACTTTCATAAAATCAGTACCTGGCCAATGTGATAATTAGTCTTATTCATTTCCTCTGGTACAAAAAACTGGTTCCACATCCAACCACGCTTCACTCTGAAATGAGAACCCACTGGGTGCTTAACCTCGTCTGTTGTAGAGATTTCTGTTGCTGTAAAGCAAGGCCATATGAGAGGAATTCCCAACAGGAAAGGTAGCAATAAGCAACAATTCATTCTGCTCTTTTGATTCCAACTGGTATTCTTCAGAGGAAAGAGTAGTTGCAAACAAAACTGTATGTTCCTTTATAATCTTTTTAAGTCTTAGGTATCTTTCATATTCCTAAAGAACAAGAAACAAAACAAAATTTTACATTTAAAAATAACATTTTCTCACATAATTGCTAACGTAAGGGTACAACTTTTGCATTCATAAAAATGGAACAATATACATTTAATTTATCTTCCAATTAAACTAGTTATATTTTGTAGCTCAGCAATAATTTGAATGGTATAATTAGAAACTTCCGCTCAAGCACTGTCCATTTTAATCTGTAGCCATAAATCTGCCTGAAGGTTGAAGAGTTGGTCTGGCAATCTCCTTGATTGATAGCTGACACTGAGATAGATTTTTTCTTTAATTTAACCTGCTTACATCTTCCATTCTATCTTGGTAAAACTCAACAGTCAAGCCAGGGGGAAAAAATGTGATCTTTCTCCTTTTTCTAAATAGCAATAAGTTTCCTAATCCAATTTCCCAAGTTATAGTATCTTATCTTGTATTAAATAGACAAAATGACAATTCAGTTTGAAACCTGGGGGATTTAATTATCAGTTATATTGATGTTATAAAACACTCTGTGAACAGAAAGCCCATGCAAGATATTTACCATTTTATATTATGAAAGATATGAAAATAAATGTTTTTCATCTTAACAAAGAGATGATCCTATTTTTAGAAAATAAATAACAAAAAATATAGTGCCTGGGTAAAAATGGCTGTTTATAATATATAAGATGGAGATAAAAGATATCTTCTATTACTGAAATAGAAAAAGAGAAATTTCAACTACTGAATTTTACGTGTAAAACTTTCCATTTAACTGATACTGATCATACCAACTCTCTTTGAAATGACTAGTAATTCTCACCCTTAGAGAAAATTGAATAGCTCTGCATTTACCACACTGACACAGCACTCCATATAACCAAATTGGATTTGTTTATTTGGGACTCATGAAGAAAAATAATTTTGTCAGGTCTACAATGTAGCTGAATACTACATAATCAACCAAAAAGCCAGAGTCCCTGTTTCTGTTAGGAGCTTTCTATATGATCTCACTTTCAATCTCCACAAATTTTTGAACAACCGCCAAGAGATATTTTAGGTCTTTGACTCTTGTTAGAAAGAGTCGTTAAAAACACCTAATTAAGAAAGCACGTTGTTATAAATGGGGACACTGTGGTGCCTCTGAGTTCCTTCAAGCAGATGTTTTCTTTGTTATATATTTACTTAATGAAGGCCATGAAGAACTTCAACTGAGGTGAGAATTAAAGATGAATTTCATTCTTATGTTGAATATTTGAAACTTAAATATGGAAAACTATCACTAACAGTGGTGTGAAGTGTAATTATAATGTTGGGTAAATGTATTTGTGTCAATTTTAGATTATATTTTCATTCATCTAGGAAAAAAAGTGAGGGATTTTAGGGAAGATACTGTTTTAGATTAAAAGATACTTAAAACACAAAAGAACAAGTGTAAAATAAGGACGTTGTCTAGAACTTAATTTGTACAAACCTATTTTTATATTTACATTTTTTATGGATTTGTGAAAATCCAATATGATAATTCAGTATCTTGAGATGATAAAAAACATTGTGGATTTTGTTAGTTATAGAAGTTTCTTTGTGGTTATATAAAACCATTTTTTTGATCATGTATACTGAAACATGTTGATGTTGGAAATAAGATGATGTCTAGAATTTTTTTAAAAACATTTCAGAAACAGTAGGAGCTCAGGTAAAACCATTGAGGCAAAGCCTTGATAATTAATTCTTGAAAATAGGTCATGAGCATTTGCATAGCTATTATTTTATTCTTCATTTGTGTTTAAAACTTATAAATTAAAACAACAGAAATACAATTTACTCTGTATTTTTAAAATCAATATGGTGGACAAAAATCATTAAATAGTTTAATATCAGCTATTCATGAGAACTCACAAAAAAACAAGCAAAACCCTTATACAATGCTGATGAAATTGAAAATTTGCACAATTATTTTGAGGAATAGTTTGGCCAAATCTACTATATTTAAAAATTAGTTGAATCTATAAACTAACAGCTATTCTTTTTTACTGCTTTATATCTAGAGAAACTTTCAAATTTGTCCACTGTGAGGCAAATATAAATTGGGTTAATTTGAAAAATATGTATAGAAAAATAAAGTACGGATCAGGGAACTATATGATACCAATTATAAAGTGTTTCAAAATTATAAGATGATGCCATATGAGACTGTTTTCATACATAAATTCTGTAAAGTAAGTCTAGGAAAAGAAAAATGATACACAAAATTTATTATGGTAATTACCATGTTAGTAGGAGGAGAAATTGGTTTAAAGATTGAGGTTTAGAAATATGTCTCATTTTTCTCCCTCTAAACAATCTCAAGTAAATATGTCAAATAATAACACTCATTAAATCTGGGTGATTTTTCTACCATATGTTAGATTTTTTTTTTCAGATATAGTACATGATTGAAATATTTTACAATTAAATTTAAAACTAAAGGTTAAACTATCGTTATTTTACAATCCTAAATCATAACAAAACAGATAGGAGTACCCTTTTATTTGAACCTCTTAATATAAAAATACAAGAATGAAATGGTAGCAATAGGTATGTCTGAATTATGAAATATTAATGGCTTTGTTTATACTCTTCTAGATGCCAAATTGTCTATAATGGTCATACGTTTAGGGGAAGGGAAAATGTTTCAAGTAATGGTCCACTTCTGATTGAAGAGTGTTGACAAGCTGTGTGCAGTGCCAGGCTGAGAAATATTCAGGCACCGTCTGGGCTAATAAGGAAAAATGCTATCAATTAGTATGTCTGAAATGGGCCCTAGAGAAACAAGCAGTGGTATTTCCACCCTACATCTCCAATCCTGCTGATATTTTCCAGTCAGGTGAATGTATGGATGAAAACCTGCATAAGATTTCAATATGGAAAAAAATGCTAATACTGTGTCTCATGTTAATTTGTTTAGATTTAATCTCATTGCCAGTAACTAGGCATATTTATAAATATTAAATAAAATGTAGAGTGAACTATATTTCATTACCTATCTTGAAAATATATATTTCAAAATATATAATGTATACAAATTAAGTGACATTGCTGTTAACACAAAATTACAAAATAATATTAATATTTGAATAACAGTATTATAAAATATAAAATATTGTGTTCAAATAGGATCATATAATTTTAGCATTAAAAATTGTATTTTCTCTAAAGCATTACATTTACATATGAAGAAATTTCTATTAAGACATTTTAAGTGACCTGTCCAGTAGCAAATAGTTATTTACCAGTGGAAGTAAGATTGGAAATCTAATCTTTTTTTTTTTTTTTAATATTTTATTTATTTATTTGACAGAGAGAGACACAGCGAGAGAAGGAACACAAGCAGGGGGAGTGGGAGAGGGAAGCAGGCCCCCCGCGGAGCAGGGAGCCTGATGCGGGGCTCAATCCCAGGACCCTGGGATCATGACCTGAGCTGAAGGCAGACGCTTAATGACTGAGCCACCCAGGCGCCCCGGAAATCTAATCTTAAGGGCATGGAGTGTTCACTGTGCTTTACTGAAGAAAGAAAACATGTACATGTCTAAAAAAGTGCATGGCATCTGTCACTGATAGTTCACCTTATTTAAATTAACTAAATATATGGAAATTGCATTTGAACGTCTGGACCAGTCTTGAAACTAGACATAATAAAATGTTTTCTATTATCTCCTTTTAGAACACCTCTTTCTCCCTGTTCTAAAGATTCTTTTTTTTTTTTTTTTTAAAGATTTTATTTCTTTGACAGAGAGAGATACAGTGAGAGAGGGAACACAAGCAGGGGGAGTGGGAGAGGGAGAAGCAGGCTTCCCGCCGAGCAGGGAGCCCAATGCGGGGCTTGATCCCAGGACCCTGGGATCATGACCTGAGCCGAAGGCAGACGCTCAACGACTGAGCCACCCAGGCGCCCCTGTTCTAAAGATTCTTGAGGTCAAAAACAGGGAAGAATAAGTCAGAATGATGGATTTGGTGTCTGTGGGGAGGAAAAGTTGAAGCTAGGAAAATGTGGATGGAATAAATATAGAAACTCAATCCTATTTGTGATCTTTTTAAAAATCAAGTGAAACTTGGCAGCTTCATAGAGTGACACCATCCATAAAGGCTTCTAAATGGCTTTCTCAGAACCACTAATAGGAAATATAGAAAGAAATGTGTGTGGATATAGCTTGCATACATAAGTGAGAAGAAACGATATTTCTGGACCAAAATTTGTAATAAACCATGTGCCAACTCTTTCTCTAGACGTAGAATATAAAACATATTTCTTTGTCCCATTTATAAACTCTCATTAAACATATACTTTACATATTTACTGGCAGAATTAAAAGCCTTGTGCTTCAGCTAAAGCAGTATAAAGTCAGAGGGCTGTACAAGAGCTTCTCAAGCCCACTTTGGCAGGACCTTCCCTGTTCACTACTTGTGTGATGTCCTAAGATGGGGACAAATGCCATTTCATCCCTGGGCTGGCTATCGTGGACTCTGTTCTCAGTGGTGCAGAGGACTGTGGATTAATGAGCACTGTATTCAGTGCTAAGCATTGACAATATTGAGCCTGAGTGTGAAAATATTCCCCAACAAGAAGAGACAGTTTCCAGTTGATGAAATACTCACTGGCAAAATATCACTTTAAAAAATCTGGTATCCCACTTTTTTCCACCCTCCACAAGTTACCAGAACATGATTTCTCATTATTTCTAAACTAAATCACTAGAAGCCTCTGTACTGAAGATTCACCTAAAACGCTTTTTGGACTGTATCCTTCATTATATGTTGCCAATGCAATTAATCTGCATAGGACTTCATTATATCTTTGCCATGTTAGTAATGATTTTAATTTGGACATTGCATGTCAACACAGTATTTCTTACACTTATTTTTCTTGTGTGATTGCAGTCAAACCTGGAAAATATTTTCTTTAGCAAATTTTCTTTTTCTTAATGTTCTTGTGAAAATATATAACATAGAAAAATAAAGCAAAAAGACCCCACAAA